GCCTGTTCTATGTATACTGTGCCCACATTTTGTATGTTTGCTGAAAAAAAAAAACTAAAGAAAATGCTATCCTGAGTTTAGCAGCCATCCTCTGCATGGCTTGAGTGAGTAAAGAAGTTCATACATGCTAATTTGTATATAATCTTTTATATAATCAGAATACATAGCAATGCAGTAAATAGCATATTTGAAAGTTGAACTGTCAAAAAGAATCATGGCACCTTTACAAATGCTCTTTGTTTCCTAAGGGTAAATCCCTGCTTTCTGTCATCTTAATACAGCGTGTAGTAGTTACATCTTCCAATATTCATGATCAAAGAAACACCTGGAAGTTTATATGAACAAAGCTGCAACTGGTCTTTTACAAACAGCGCTACAACAATGGAAACATTTCTATGTCAAACTAGACTGCAGGTTTAGCAATAGCAGCAGCGCCAAGCAGGAGCAAATTACAATGAGTTTGGATCTTATATGCACCCTTTTCTCATCTTCTTCTCTACTGAGAAGAGGAGCTTCAAAGTTTATACTTAACTAGTGTTTCCCATCTCATTAGATCCTAGAATTCTTGCTAAAACTGTTGATGAGTTTAAACAAGTCACCTTCAAAAACTATGATGTGAGGTTAGGTATTTGAAATTAGCCATTGATAAAGTTAATCAGTTGGTCAGAGAAGACCAAAAATAGCAGATGATCAGAAACGAAGGTGAAAGTTTCCAACCATTTTCTTCAACTACAGCAGAAGGATACAAGTTTGTGACCCACTTCAGCTCATTCATATTGCCATGCTAGCCGAATATTCTGATACTGGTAATCCCAACACATCTGCTGCACTGAACTATGATTTAGCACATGGGTGCAAGCCTTGACTGTAGCCCATTGAGCTTTCCAAATATTCCCACCAAAACAGAAAATTCAGTTTTTGTTCTAGCCCTTGCTAGAGTGTTATACCACTTAAAGATCAAATATGGCTCATGGCCCAGAAATGGCTGCATACCCCTAATTTAGCATAGTTGTGCAAATTGTTTTTAGCAATTGCAACTCAAACCTACTCATTGGCTAGCTTGACTGCATTTGCATGTCAAAGGAAGCAAAAAAAAAAAGATACAGGTCTGGCTTGCCAACAGAATGGCACCATGCTGGTGACCATTCTCAAGCTGCAGAAATGGTCAGACTGCTGGTTCCTTCTAGAAGCATCTGCAGCTAACAAACCACAGATGTTGTAAAGCATTTTTTTTTAATTTGGGCAAAGCAAAGATTCTGGCTTGTTCCTTACAGAAAGAAGACATGAATTCATCAGGAAGCAACAAACAGGAGAAAATGTTTCCACCTGACATTGTTGTATATGCAAACCCAATGAAATGGTACATCTGATGACTACTCTGTACTGAAACTGCAAACAAGAAACTACTGTTACTGTCAGTAGGGTTGATGATTTCTGCAAGACAAGCATAGGTTCCACAAGGAAAATGGACCAAGAGCTGTCAAACTCGTTTCACAAAAGCTATCTGATTGTAGCAATTGCCATTACTTTTAGCTCAGTTTGAAGTCAGTTCAGACTTTTACGCAGAACCTGAAATCAGGCTCTCTGAATATGGTCACTTCACATTTTAAATGGTTGTATATAGATTATGCTTTTAAATTTGGAAAAAGTAAGACTAAATCCTTTGCACACTTTCCTGGAAGCTATCCTTGCTGAATATAATTACTTTCAATAAAACAAGTACTGGATTCCACATGACTATATGGGGATTTGAAACTCAAATCTCAGTTCATATTCTATATCACACTAGATGAGGAAAAAAATGGATGTTCTTCTTTCAAAAATATAAAATAGTTGTTTGACATTGTTTCTGTAGCACTAATTGGAAGTGAAGATTAATTTTAGACAGTATACTGCACTATGTTACGATTATCATTAGCAAAACACAAGCCTTTTGATCCATTTTTGCTCTCAAGTTTATGTGTTAAATGCAATTAAAGTAAAAACATTCTACTAGAAACTATACTTAGTTCGACTATGTAGCATTTTGGATTTGAAGCCAAAAAAGCACTTCAGAGCCCATGAAGGCATGAACATAGCACCTACTTGCAACTTCTTAAGCCAAATATGTCTTTTCTCAGGAAGATATGTTTAATTTAAGGAGTTGCAGTCAAGTGCTATGTTTGCACCTTCATGCACTCTGAAGCACCTTTTTGCCTTATGACTCCAAAGCCTTGCAAACCCTATGTGAAAAACCGTATGCATATTTCATGCTTGCAAATTTAAAAACTGCACCAAAACTATCAATTTTGCAATATTAAACACTTCATTTTATTCACAGAACTTAAAAGCGGTCCTGCATTCCACAAAATTTGCAATCGTCTGTTCTAAAGTTGGACTTCAATGGAAATCAGACAGATTTTGAACCCACGCAGCAGAGGTATTAGCCTCCCATTTAGAGAAACTTGTTAGGAATGCACATGCACGCGTATCCTTATGAAGATTGGACCTACTCTGACTAGATATTCAAGCATATATAAATAGGACCAGTAAATGATCCAATAATAACCATTTATACTTACATATTCACACACAGATATCTTTAAAGCTGAAGACAAAGCTACAGACATAGCATACCAGAACGGGTTGGCATCACATTTAAATTATTAAACAGAAACAACAGGAAGTGGATTATAACCTTATTCTTCTCCAGTTCAGTTTGGGTTAGATGGTATCTAACAAACACTTTCTTCCACAATATAATTCTTTTCTACTTCTATAATACCACCAAGTTTAATTGCTCTCTAGAGCAATCCCATGAGAATTGTTAAGGGATACTTGCATATCATTGCAATTTTTAGTACTGGCCCACTTCAGTGCAACCTTAAATACTGTATGTTACATAAAATCCCATTGTTTTCAGTATGATTTACTCCCAAATGAATGTGTGAAGAATTGCAATCTGAGAATTTTTGGATTGATTTTTGAGAAATTAATATCTACAGAATAATACTTGATTTCTTGTATGTAGCTTTTAAGTATGTTTTGCTGGATCATCATTAATAAGTTGAAACTATGTCCATCAGTTTCCCCATATGCAATTAACAGAACCTGAACCTGAAGGTAAAGCTATACTATTTTTACAATTGTCTGTGATTCAGATTTAATTCATTTAAACAGCATCTAAGACAATCTCTTCAAAGAAGCAGATCTTCGTCTGGAAGGTCAGATGTTCTTCAGCAATACAACATGCAATCCAGGTGCTATTTTTTTAGACAGCTATTTCCCCAAACGGTGCAAGCATTTACATGTCTGGGCCTGCACAATCAACCATACATCCAACCCTGCAGAGCTGTGACCAAACAGCAACCTTTCTGAGAAGCTCCACCATGAGAAAATGGTCTTCAGAACAAAGTCCATTTTTCTAAGGATTCCAGATCTGAAGTCTCTCAATAACATCCAGGTCCAGTGGAAATGTGGTACATTACCTAGAAAAACTATTTCCCTCTTTAACTACTCTCCAGCATATCAGTATGCAGCTTCACACATAACAAACACTAGCCTTTAAAACATTCCCTTGGGAAAACTGATCAAGAAAAGGGAGAAGTTTGTCCTGGTCCTATCCTGATGTAACTACCAATGCAATGGTTCTTATTTGTGAAAGACAATAAGTCACCCTTCTGGAACCTCTTTCTTTAGTTCTTTGCCCTTTAGTTTCATAGCCTTATATTCCTTTGTTGATTCATTAACACTGGAGCTCAACTGCCCAGAACTAATCAGTCTCACCACCACCACTCCTGCTTTACGACTGATAAATAGTGAATCCAACATCTTGTTTCTTCATTCAATCTACCTTTTAAGATTGAAAAAGTATCTCATTTTCTCCATTCCCCAAGCAGCTAGCACTGCTTGTCCTTCTCCAATTCACACAGAACCATACTCACCTGAATGATACCAAGTCAGTTATAACTTGGGTTAGAACTGTATAATGTATGTATACACTAGGTTTACAAAAGCACTTATTTTTATGCATGTGCCCCAGGAGTGAGATACGGCACTACGCCAATAATACACAAAGGTAATTAATTGAGGAAATGTGTTTGTGCAATTTGTGAGTTGTCAACACTGCCCCTGTGGCCTATGCATAAGCTCCCGGTACTCATCCACGCAAGAAGCAGAAATACTTAAAAAAAAAAAATTATCTTAAATTTGAATAATGATAAAAATAATTTTAATTCTTGCTCCCGCCAAACCGTCCACATTTTCTGGAGCAAGGTAAGGCCATCTGGGAAATAAGAAAAAAAAATGGATACTGTACAGCAATCACTGTATACCTAAAACATGTTTTAGTGTATTATTCTCAGGAATATACACTCTAGTAGTTCACAAGAAAACTGTCTTAGCAAATACATGGGCTACAATCACAGCTACAACCAAATGGGATGGATAAAGTGTAAGTAAAAAATTAATCTAAATCAGTTACAGGCCACTGCCTTCAAAACGTAGAAGTCACAGAGATGCGACTGGGGCAGAAAGCAAGGAATCTTAGCAGCACATCACTGGCTGCCTTCCAAGTGAAAACTGGAGGGTTTTTTTTTAAGCCTTTGACCTCCCCCCCCGCCCCCCCCCCCGACATTTGCTGAGCAGAGCGAAACTTGTCGAAGGAGTTGCCCCAAAGAGCCCGTGAATAAAGGCCGGATAGTGCCCTTCTCCAAAGGAAAATTGCAATCAGGCAGCGGCCGCGGGGGGGATGGACGAGGGGGGCAAAATGTGAAAGGGGCTTCCCCTCAGCCTTCCCCTCTCTCTGTCTACCATTATGGGCGGGAGAAAGAAGGGCTGCGGTTTTGGTCGGGGGAGGTAAATAGGGGAAGGGACAGAAGGCGGAGAAACTGGGCCGTGCAGCCTCCCCCCGCACCGGCCGGGACAGCCAGGGGGGCGCAGCAGAGGCGAGTCGTTTTCCTCTTCCTAAGGAAAGAGTTTCCAGGGCCGGAGCGGGAGCGCTCGCTGGCTGCCTTACTTACTCCGTGCTCCGTCCGGGAAAGGGTGGGTGCCGATCCCGCCGCCGCTGCTGCTGCCGGTTGAAGGTCCGGTTCGGTCCGTGGGAGGACGTGACAGAGCGGCGGGCAGGGTCGAAGCGGCGGGCTGGCGGGCTGGCGAATCCGCCGCGCACCGAGAGGAGCGAGCCGGGAGCCGAGCAAGAGCGACGGGAAAGTTTGTGCGAAGGAGGGAGGAGCAGAAACTTGGAAAGAGAGCAAAAGAAGGAGGGAGGGAAGGAGAGCAGGAGTCAGCCCCCGCCCTTGTCGCAGATGGACAGCCTCCGCCACCACCGTCGCTGGGGGAGGAGACCCTCTCCTCCTCCTCCTCCTCCTCCAGCGGCGGAGTCTCGCTTGGAGGGGGGGTTGCTTCAGCCTCAGGCTGGACGGAAAGGGGGCTGGGAGGATACTGGATGGATTTACTGGAAAAGGCTGGGTCGTTAACAAACGAACTTCTAGCGAAGAGGAAGAGGACCAGCAGGAGGGAGGGCTATGCATGAAGTTAGTGAAAAGTTTAATGGGATCCAGAGTTTCATCCATCTTCTTTAACGGGATAGCGAGCCTGCCAAAGGCATTGTGGATAAAGCGACGAAGAACGCGCCTTCTATCTTTTTTTCAGAAAAGCATATATTATGGCATAAAATCTGAGGAGGAGGAGACTGAGTTCAAATCCTGATTAGTCACTATAAAACCTCAACCCAGTTATTTAACTCACTTCACAGGCCGAGATTTAAAAAAAAAAAAACTCGTAGTCGGGTAGGCCCATGGGGAAAGAATAATCCCAAATCTATAGTTAGATGATGTCTTTATTACAATTTGTTCAAAAGATTGTGCAAGCTTTCGAGTATTCCGGAACTCTTGGTCTAGGTAAAATGTTACCAACAAAACACAAAAAAAACCGGGATTAGGAAGAAGCAAAGCGAATCCTAAACACTAATCAGATTTCTATTCGTGCAGGCGAAAAGCCTGTTTTGCCAAAAGTCGACATGAAGACTTCCTTGACAGCCTGCAATCCTATGCATTGAATTCTGCCGCGTGTTTGCTTCCTTATGAACATGCCTAGGATGTCGATGAGAAGGCGGAATAAAATGAACGTTTTTGTTCTTGGATGCAGGGAACAATGCGATGAAGCAGTATTATCACAGATAATATTTCTAAAGCAAGCAGGTTTAGACTGCGGAGGTTGCTTCTCTTAAGGAAGTTGATTCGGGACTTGGACACGGAGGTCCCACTTGGACAGGTAGATTAACCTGTCTGGAACAGGTTGGACGGGTGGCCATTTTCTTATGTCTCCAGCCCAAGGTGTGCGAGAAAGAGGGGAGGTTAAAAAAACAAAACAAAAACCCGTTGGTGTATGTTGGAGGGAGAAGAAACAGGACGAACTAGGAGGCGTCCAGCTCGAGAGGAGGCGCGTTGTCGCCCTCCTGATCAGTCCCTGCTCCGAATCTCAGCTCCGCACTCCGAAGCTGACGTCACAGCCGAAGGAGCGGCCGCCCTCGTTTCCTGTTTCGCTACAAAGCCGACTCGGCTCAGAGGTTCCAGCCCTCGCGCTGAGCCTCCTGCTGCAGCGCCTCCTATAGATCCTTGTCGCGCAGCGCGCATTTTGTTCGGAACCACTTAATTGAGATCAAGCAAGCACCGTCAACAATAGAGGAAGTCGGTCAGACATTTGAAATCTTATTTTCTTCCACCCTTCCTTCAAGGGCGGGCTGGAGGAAACGGATCTGACAACACCGAAAAATTGCCTCTCGCGTTCGTGCTACTTTCCCCGACTTCTGCTCTACCACGGGCTTTTTTAACGCGGCAGAAGGGAAATGGAGTACTGTACAGTACTTAAAAAATAGAATTTGATTCTGCACCAACGACCCAGATATTTAAAAGAAGCAGCCCACAAAAATTCTTATCTAATCTATTAAAAGTCAGGCCAAACTCCAAGTTTTATAAGTATGCTGGAACATATTTGAGTAAGCCTCTGATACAAATGTCTCATAGGAATTGCTGCATGTGAACATGAAAAAGAATTCCTGAGGTTTTGCTCTAATATGCATTCTCCCCCATGACTTGATCTTCCTATACAGACCCCTTCAATTACCATATATTCTTTTTTGTCTTCCTCCATCTCTTCTTCCTCCCACTGTCCCCTCCCCCAATGTCTGAAACCTCCACCTGCCTTGTGTACCCTTCCTTCAGATGTCCCTGGGCACAACCATAACTGCATTAGAGCATTTATTTATTTCATTTATGTGGGGCTGTAGACCAAATGTTCATATACAAAGCATCTGGTATAAAAGCCTCACTTGTAACAGAAACTGCATAGCTGGATTTTGTGTAGATCCACTGACTTCTAATAGCAACCACTATTTCACACAAATTAGCCAGTTTGCTGGAAACTTTGGAATACTGATCATTTTGTAGGAAATAAGCATACTGACTAGAGGGAAGATGAACTCAACCTCCAAAAATGATAGGTGGGACAGTTAAAGAAGATACATGCAACTGACTGAATTTCAGTATGTAAGCATATACACAAACACTCCTGGTGGGAAATATTACTGAATTTCCCCATCCACACCATGAAGGGCAGGGTGTCTAGGCATGCCTGTGTAAGTGTCCTTCTGTGGGAGGGGACAAGAATGTGATAAAAATATTTGGGAGTAGTAACAGGTAAATTCATATGCTCACTGTAGCAGAAATGGGTCTGTCCCTATATCTTTGTCCCTATTCCTTTACACATCAAGATCTAAGATTCTCTGCTTGATGTCGCTCCAGACTTTTTCTAGACCCAGCATAGATACAGATCGGGGAGGTAAACCCACAGTGAACCAGATGGGAGATAATGTTTTCTTCCATGCGGAAATACGTCTATCAGTACAGACTGGGCCAAGGACTCAACCCATGTATTTGTTTGAGCTAATACTTTAACCTCAAATGGGGCTCAAAACAAGCAGGGTTTAGACAGGATTTTTAACAACAGACCAATGTATCATTTTGCATCACTTGTCCATAAGGTACACCAGTTTACCAGTGAGTTCTCTCTATGCCACCTTTATAGATTTGAAGGTAACACGTGACTCAATTTACCTTGAGAGGCTATGGTGGAACTTGGCAAGGCTCTCTATTGACCAGCATCTTCTATTCCAGGTAGTCCTCAGTTATCGACAGCAATTGGGACTGGAATTGCTGTCACTAAATGATGTCGTAAAGTGCGATGTCATGTGACTGAGCCACTTAGCAACAGCAGTTCCGGCAGTCCCAATTGCCTTTGTTAAGCAAGGACCTCAGCATGACTGCGACTTCCATTTTCCTGCTAGCTTCCCCATTGACTTTGCTTGTGGGAAGCTGGCAGGGAACATTGGAAACCACAATCATGTGACTGCAGCTTGCTGCAATGTCATAATTGCGATCTGGACGCTAAGCGCCCAGATCGCAATGACATGACTGTGGGGAACTGCAATAGCCAGAACTCCAAGGATTGGTTGTAAGTACTACTCATTCAGTGCCACCGCAAATTCAAATGGTCACTGAACAAGTAGATGTAAGCTGAGGCCTAGCTGTATTGAAAATGATACTGCATGATGATACTTCAATGAAAATTAGATGTATGAATGGGAGAGAATTGACCGCACCTATTCTAGCTTTAAAAGAGTCAAGCAGGGATATATCCTGGCCCCCCATTTTTTAATTTTTACATGAATGGTATTGTACAGGCCATTTCCAAACCTGAATTCTATCTTCTGTCTCTAGTTCACAATTCAATCTTGATATTATCATATGCTGATGACACTGTTATCCTCTGTAATCTAAGCTAACGCTATTTTCTCAAACCAAAACACAGGAAATCAATTAAACAAAATCCATGATGATTGTATTTTCTAGGTGTTTCATCAATTAGCTTCATATCTGGAAAATTAAGAACATCCAAATTGAACAAGTGAAGTCCTTCAAATATCTAAGCATTTATTTTCAGTTCTCTACCACCAGGAAATTTCAGTTTTCAAATCTTAGTTGCTGGTACAAAAAGTTTCTAACGCAATAACCTGTTGTTGTTGTTGTTGTTGTTATTCTCATAGTCAGCCAGTTGTTTAGACTGGATTTGGTATTTTTATCCACTTATCGAGTCCTTCCCAAGGACCTGGGATAGGCAGATGTTGATGGTGTTAAAGGTATCGTCACAGGATGTAAGCTGTTCCCAGTACATGTAGTCCTCGCTTAATGACTGTTTAAAGACGGTCCGGAGTTACGACAGCCTTGGGAAAAGTGCTTTACATTGTATTTGACTTAACATGTTGTGCAAATTCCATTCCAGTTTATTGTTGCATGTAAACTGTCATGCCATGACTGTGTCAGTGTTGTATGTAAATGCAAACTGCTGCTTGTTAGTTTACTGCTCCCACATTTCCCCTCTTTGCTATTCTTATGTTGCAGATCTCTTTGAGATGGGCCTGTTTTATTTACATATGTTCTTTTATATCATAGATTGCCTATTAATGCCTACTATGAACACATATGTGGAAGTCGCAGAAAAGAATTGCAATGTGACTTCATTAAAGCCTGTTAAAGCCTCCAGCTGGCCTAGTCCAGGAATCACATATCTCCCAGAATGAGGCAGGGAGGAAAGAAAAGAAGGGACTCACCCTGTCCCCCCAGAGCTTTACCTGATGACCTATAGCAGAAGTTTTTAAACTTGTTCAGGCCATGGAAACTGTTAGCTTAAAAAATAATTCCTGGAATCCCTGATCAAGAGGCAAAGTTCTAGTGATAGAACGTTGGCTGTGTTTAAGTGTAGGGGTTTTTTTCTCTTTTCTTTTTAGTCTTTTGCGGAACCCCATCATGTTCTGTGGAACACGGTTTGAAAAACTTTGCTATATACTACATTTCATTCATTTATTCGCTACCCTGCACTTTTGTACAGAAAACAAACAAGAAGGCTTACAAAGTAAAAAATAATAATAAAGAGCAAAGAAATCAAGACTATATACACAAAGACATTAAACTTTTATTAACCATTAAAACACTGAATACTTATGCTGTATCTCCCCCCACCAGGATGTTTATTATAATCCCAGCTTTTTCTGATCATATTGTCTGGAGATGATGGGAATTAAATTCTAAAAACATTGGGAAGGTTATGTTGGAGAAGGCTGCTATATATCATTAGAGGTCCCATCACTGCGCCAGTTGATATCCTATCTACAGAATAAATGCATAGACATACTGAA